GACAGAGTGTGAGGGGGGAGGGGCAGAGAGAGAGAGAGAGAGAGACAGAGAGACAGAATCCAGAGCAGACGCCAGGCTCTGACCTGTCAGCAGAGAGCCCAACCTGGGGCTCGAGCCCACGAATTGTGAGACCATGACCCGAGCCGAAGTCGGACGCTTCACCGACAGGACCCAGGCGCCCCAAGGTCCTGATTTGCAATACCACTCTCCAGTAAAAGGAAACAGGCTCCGTGGAGAAATGGCTGATTGTAGGGCTGGGGCCGAAAACAAAGGAGATGAACTTGGAGGTAGTTACAGTGCCAGAAAGTAAGCAAGTGCTCAAAAATAAAAATAAAACCAAAAACAAATGATGAGGGTATGTCACAAGGGCACGGGGGCCACTCATCTTACTAGCCCAAACGGGAAAAATGTGAGCAACAAAACATATAACATAGTGTTAGATGACGCAAAGTAAAGAAGAAATACCCATGAGTCCACGCTGATATGATACATGACATAAACAAGTAACAGTAGAGTTCCGAACACCTTGTGTAGACCCTGCCCCCTCAAGGAAGCAGGGGGTAACTCTTCCTCTCTTAAGTGTGGGCTATGCACAGTGACTTCCCTTTACAGGGAACAATATGGAAAAGGGGAGAAAAGAGAAACCTAAGGAGCTAAGATGATTAAGTGTAATATGGTACTCTGGATGGGATCCTGGAATGGAAACAAGACATTAAGGAAAACTAATGAAATCTGAATAGAGAACGGAGTTTGGCTAACGGTGATGCATCACTGATTGGTTCTTTAGTGGTGACAAGTGTCCTACGGTGATATAAGATATTAGCAATGGGGGAACCTGGGTACAGGGGTGTATAGGAACTCCCTGTATTAGCTTTGCAACTTTTTTGTAAATCTAACTATTGTAAAATAGAAACATTATTTAAACATATTGTTCAATGGCCGCAACAGTTCACGTCCCCTGCATCATCCCTTTTGCAATGTGACTTTGCCACCCTTCCCTTGGAAAGCTGGTTTCTATCTCCCCATTGAATCTGGGCTAACCTGTGACTTGCTTGGGCTGAAAGAATGGGGACAGAATGTGGTACCAGTCATGGAGTTTCAAAGGCCTTGCACTATGGATTGAGACATTGCCCAAGCACCCTTCGTAGCCCAGCCAGGAGCCAACCAAACACCAGATATGTGATTGAGTCCCTTCCTCCTAGACAACAACCTGCAGACCTGCCCTCTGCTCTAGCCACAGAGAGGCAAGGCAAAATTAGCTCAGCCCTACCCAGATCCACAGGGCCACAAGTGATTTATATGAACCATAAGAAAAGCTTTTTATTATACAGCTAATACAGCTAATAGCTAAGTGATGCATTCATACTCGAGCACAACGGTGTGTGTTCAAGGTTATTTTGTTGCAACAATATGATTATAAAAGATTACGAGCAACCTAAAGGCTCATGCGTGGAAAACTGATCAAATAATTATGAGATCTGTACCACGGAATATTATGCAGCTGTTCAAAAGAATGAGGCCGCTCCGTACGAATCGCCATGGAACAAATCCCATGATACATCTTCTAAGTGAAGCTTCGAGATGCCGAGGAGCATACAGAGGCAGCTACCCATCCTGTGAAATATTTATATTTGCACAGACTTTCTGCTGGGGGATCTACACAAGGCGGGTGTCAATCGCCGCCTCTCAGAAGGGGAACTGGCTGCTGGGAACAGCCGTGGAAGGGACACTCCCTTTTCGCTTTACCACCTTTTTTGTCTTTTGAGACGTGGAAACGTGTTGTCTATTCAAAAATAAATAAAAGCAGAATGAAAGAAAAAAACCCCAACAACCTCCCGTGCCTTTCCATTTCGGCCTGTTATTCTCCACTCGTAAGATTCCCCAGATCCGCGGGGTTACAAAGAGCCGCGGGGGAGCCAGGCTGCATTTTCTCCCGCCCTCCCCGCGGACAGCCTACACCACGCGCTAAGGGAAGCCTGTTTCTGCGGTTCCCTTGTTTGCGAGCCCGGCCAGGCCGCCACGACCGCGCCTGCCACTAGGGGGCAGCAGGAGGCTACCTTCCCGGGCAGGAACTGCGGAGAGGTGGAGGTCGGCCCGAGTAGCATAGCAGGCTGGCTGGCTCCTCCCGAAAGGGCTCGGGCTTTACGTATGAAATATAATAATATCAACAATAACGATAGAGAAAATAAATGGTTTCGATCTGGGACCAAAACTCATCCCCAAACCCCCTCCAGGCACTGGATCATCCAGCCAGTTCCCATAGCGTCCCCAGGGGAAGCCTGTGCCTCTGTAGGAGTTGGGGGGCAGGGTTGAGGGTGCGCGGCCGAGAGGCATGGGGGGGAGCGGAGGGAGATGACCTTGCCCTCCACCTGCACCCAGCTGTATAAAACCTGCCGGAGAACTCGCCCTTCAGGCTGCCGAGACCAACAATCCTTACACTCAGGAGATCTGGAGGGTTTGCCATTGACCCCCCCC